TTTAGATAGAGTCCTACTCTGTTGCCCAGGCTGGAGTATAGTGGCATGATCTCAGCTCACTGCAACCTCTGCTTCCTGAGTTCAAGCAACTATCTTGCCTTAGCCTCCCAAGTAGCTGGGAGTGCAGGCACCTGCCACCATGCCCAGCTAATTATTTTGTATTTTTAGTGCAGACAGGATGTCACCATGTTGGCCAGGCTGGTTTTGAACTCCTGACCTCAAGTGATCCACCTGCCTTGGCCTCCCAAAGTGTTAGCATTCCAGGCATGAGCCACCGGGCCTGGCCACAATGCAATATTATTCAGCTTTAAAAAGGTAGGAAATCCTGTCATATGCTACAACGTGGATGAAACTTGAGGATATTATCCAGTCCCCAAAGGAAAAATACTGTATGACTCCAGTTATGTTATAATCTAACATAGTTAAATTCACAGAAACAGAAAATAGAATGGTGGCTACCAGGGGCCAAAAGGAGAGGAAAGTGGAGAATCGTTCTTTAATGCATATAGAGTTTCAATTTTGCAAAATGAAAAAGTTCTGGAGATCAGTCACACAACAATGTAAATATACTTAACACTGGCACTATCAAAGTGAACACTTAAAAATGGTTAAGATTAAAAATTTTTATATTATCTTATCTTTACCACGATTTTTTTTAAAGTCCCTAGACCTCATGTTTCTTTCTAGCTGCACCTCTTTTGGAAGAACTTTCCATGATCATTAACATCTCTTGTTTACCTCCCACTCCCTCTTGAACCCATTGCCATCTGATTTCTGCCCTTGCCAAGGTTGTCAATGACCATTCCACTTAGCCTGCTCTTGCTAAGGTTGTCAACCTCCCTATATTTTTACGCTTAGTATACTCAACCCAGAGTATTTGGTTCTGCTCACCACTTATTTCTGGATGCTCTTACATCTTTTGGTTTCTGTGGGACTCTGCCTTATTCTTTGACAGATAACTGACAACTTTTTTTAAAGTTTTTTTTTTTCTGCTGCCTTTTTTCTTCCATAAATGCTTGACCTGCTACTTTGTGTGTCTTTACAGTTCTTTATAGTTTTCTTTAACTCAATCTTTTCCTGTGATCACCACCGAAATTACTGAGTAATCACCTCGGATCTTTCAAACAGTCCAGCCTATGCAACAGTACGCCACTTCTACGCCTGCGCGGGGACGGTGAGGCGGGGCCCGCAACTTCCTCAGCGGGAGGGGGAGTGCACACTGGAGTCGCCGGAAGAGAACGACTCTGATCTGGCTCGGCTTTCCAATCAATTCCACAAGGAGCCAGGCTTTCTGGGTTGCAACATGGCGGCTACCAGTGCAACTGATGAACCGGTGAGACGCTGCTCTGGGGTCGGGTGAGTGGGGAGGTCGAGCCAGGTGGAGCCTTTTTTTTTTTTCTTTTTTGAGACAAGGTGTCACTCACTCGCCCAGACTGGAGTGCAGTGGCGCGTTCACAGCTCACTGCAGCCCCGATCTCCGGGGCTCAGGTCATCCGCCCTCCTCAGCCTCCTGAGGAGCTGGGACAACAGGCGCGTGCCACTACGCCTAATTTTAAAAAAAATTTTTTAATTTTTATTTTTTGTAGAGACGGGGTTTCGCCATGTTGCGCAGTTTCGTCTCAAACTCCCAGGCTCAGGTGGTCCACCCGCCTTGGCCTCCCAAAGTGCTAGGATTACAGGTATGAAGCACCGCTCCCGGCCTTGGGTGGAGCCTTGAACTCTTTTTCCCCCTTTCTAGGTTTCCGGGGAGTTGGTATCTGTGGCACATGCGCTTTCCCTCCCAGCAGAGTCCTATGGCAACGATGTGAGTATGACTCACCCACAGCTCCTACCCCCTCAGTTAGCCTGGGATCTCTGCAGGACCTGCCACTAAATTATAACCCCACGTCCTGACATCTACTACAGATCCTCTCCACTTCCACCAGAAACCACATCTTCTTTCAGTTCGTTTTAATCTTGGTCCACAAACGCAGGACTAACGCCTGTGGAAGTGGTTCTCCAAATTGGCTACTCTTTAGAATCACCTGGGAAGCTTTTAAACATCCCGCTGCCTAGATTGCAGTTCATACCACCTAAATTAGAATGTCTGGGGAATGAGAGCCAAGAATCATTATTTTTAAAGGGTCTTAGAGGGATTCCATTGTGCAGCAAAGTTGCACTGGCTTATGATGTGTCTGGTTTAGAAAATTACTGAGAAAGTATATGAGGTATTTTCCGACACAAGACAAGGGGATGTGAGAATAGTAAAAACACCCAAATAAGAATGCGAAACATATGAGTGGGTCAGGCCATAAGATCCAAATAGTTTAGCTGAAGGAGAAATCCCTAAGGGGCCAAGGAAGTAGAAGACTAGACTGAAGAAATGGAGCTTTAACTGTATCCTCAAAGTGTAGGTGGACAAAGGACAAGGATTGGGAGGTAGGAAAAGTGCATGGTCTAAGGCATGGAGGTAACAAATGCAAATGGCTTTTCCTGGAGACAGTGAAATAGGTCGGAGGTTTCTGGTCTCGTTGGAGTGGGAGATTCCAGTGGAACAGATGGGTGCTTGGTAATATTTATTATAGCCTTGATCTGTTTCATGTGCTAATTCATTTCTAGGTGTCATAATATGGGGAATTGGCTGTTTGGTAAACACAAATGATTACATGCTTGAATCTTAAAAGTGAAAATAAATTTTCATTTTGATTCTTTGTTCTCCCAACAACTCAGTGATATTGAGGGTTATATTATTTCAGTTTTACAATGATTTAACTGAATCCTGAGAAGGTGATTTATCTACTGCTTTATTTAGTCTCCCAGCGTTCACTAGCAGCTGGGAAAAGATAGCCAGTGGCTCATTGTGTTCATGATATTCTGTAGGTAGCTTCTTTTGGTTGTTGTATGGACAAAAGAATTATTGTCTAAATGTATTACTCGTTTTAATTATTTGACAGTAACATCAAGTTTGGTAGCCCTCTTGAACATTATATAGACATCCACATACTTCCTTAATTTGGTATTCAGTAGTAGGATTGGGAAGTTTATGACTTGGTATTTTTCACACCTTTGCAGCCTGACATTGAGATGGCTTGGGCCATGAGAGCAATGCAGCATGCTGAAGTCTATTACAAGGTGAGTTGTCTGTCTTTATCATTAAGCAGAATTAAACATGTAATTATATGTAGTGTATGATGCTCTGCTTATCACTATTTTCAGCAAGTTAAACAGTTTTTATTAATGTAAGTTCTTACCCACAGACAATAGAGGAGTGAAAGCGAATTTGTTTCTACAATGAGTTCTGCTGCTTTGCTCAGCATTATGATGCTAATTGACAAAAGGACGCCTGGCCCATACATTGTAGGCACTCAATAAATGTTTGTTGAATAAATGAACAATCCACGGAGGGCAATAGCCAGACAGTACTATGGTTAAAAAAGCCAATTGCCAAATTGGTGGAAGAGATTGTAATAATATGTTATGGCCTTAAATTATGTCATGATTTCATCCAGGATGTAGGCTGTCTGATGACACTTCCTGAAGAGATCTTCTGCCCTGAGAACCATAAAGGTTTTCTGGTGGGGATGGGGAAGATAGTAGTAAATTACAGACTACCACCTGTATGTTGTCTTACTGTTTGGCAGCTGATTTCATCAGTTGACCCACAATTCCTGAAACTCACCAAAGTAGATGACCAAATTTACTCTGAGTTCCGGAAAAATTTTGAGAAGCTTAAGATAGATGTATTGGACCCAGAAGAACTCAAGTCAGAATCAGCCAAAGAGGTAAAAATTCTCTTTCTCAAATGTTACTTAGCATTTAACCAACAGTTTTTGATTGTGAATTTTTTTTTTTTACATTTAAACGCTTTTTGTTGTTTAAGAAAAATATGTAAAGAACCAGAACTTGTTACTAGTTGTAATCAACTAAGTTAAAAAATGAATGTTTTTCCAATTGATTGACTTTTCATATTGTTGAGTCAATTTTTTTCTCCTTTCTGTCTTGGACATTTTTAATCTCCACCCAGCCCTTTCAGGGGAGGAGGAATCAGTTTTTTTAGGTAGTATGGCCAGAGACTTGGATGGGGAGTGGTAGATAGGGCATAGGAACGTTTTTGATTTTTTCATTTAAGTTCATGTGATTACGTGCCATGGATAACCAGAAAACTTATGTTTTTCATTGCTTATGTGATTATCCAGTACTTTAATAGGAAACTAGCACTTTTACAGTTAGGAAAAAATGTTTTTTCTTGAGAGTAAATCCTTGGCTAATGAAGAATGTAAAGTGTGTGTGGGGGGATGGGCGTGGTTCTTTCTTTTTCTTTTCTTTTTTTTTTTTTTTTTTTTTTTTTTTTTTAAGACAGGATCTCACTTTGTTGCCCAGGATGGAGTACAGTAGTACCATTTCAGCTCACTGCAACTTCCACCTCCCAGGCTCAAGCAGTCCTCTTGCTTCAGCCTCCCTAGTAGCTGGGATTGCCACTTTTATAATTTTATAAAAGCTTGTATAATTTTATAATTATATAATTTTTTTGTCCATAGCATTACCCTTTATAATGCTTTGGACAATAGCATACATTTATGTATTAACACAAAATCAACATATTTTTAAATGATACATGGTGCATGCTACCATGCCCAGCTAATTTTTTGTATTTTTGGTAGAGATGGGGTTTCACCATGTTGACCGGGCTGGTCTTAAACTCCTGAGCTCAAGCGACGCTTCTGTCTTGGCCTTCCAAAGTGCTGGGATTACAGGGGTGAGCCACTGTCCCCAGCCAAGAATCTAAACTTTTAACTCCTAGGAGGCTATTAGTGATCTTTGTCTTTGGAAAATTGTCACTACTGAATGGACTTCTTTATTAAAATCATTTGTGTTTTAGTGGGTATAGGTGACCATTTTGGATTGAACTGACCAATAATTTCAAAACAATCTGTCTAAGACATCATATTTTAATTCTATAGTGAAAGATTTATATGTATTTCAGAGTAAAATATTATTTATCTTGGGAAATAGCAGTCTAAAGACACAATAGGTAGCATAGAAAAGCACTGCTAGTTTCACTGTGAAACCAGCAATCACCTCAATCCTAGTCTCACTATGATTATTTTCCTTACTGGGGAAGTGGAATTATCTCTCCTCTTGCATTTGTTAGCTAAGGCATTGTTTTTGCCTTGATATAGAAGTGGAGGCCATTCTGCTTGAAGTTTAATGGGATTGTTGAAGACTTCAACTATGGTACTTTGCTGCGACTAGATTGTTCTCAGGGCTACACTGAAGAAAACACCATCTTTGGTGAGTTTTTTCCCTCTGGAATTGTTTCTTTATAAGGAGACTGAACAGTCTGGTTTTGCTGATGAATCAGTAACATGTATAGTTAGGTTGGAGATCACCTTATTTTGTTTCATCTTTAAAGATGTTACTATTTTTTTAAGTAACTTGAAGATAGTTAAGTCTTTTCAATCTCATTAATATGAGATTGGAATTCAATATCTCTGAAGTTTTTGAGTATACTCGAATGTTTTGTATGTTATTTCAATTTTGTCAGATTTCCAGCATATTTAGGGAACAGGCCAGGCACAGTGTCTCATGTCTTGTAATCCCAGCACTTTGGGAGGCTGACATGGGAGGATCACTTGAGCTGAGGAGTTTCAGACCAGCCTGGGCAACACAGGGAGACCTCATCTCTACAAAAACATTTAAAAAATTATCCAGGTGTAGTGGTGCGTGTTTGTAGATCCAGCTACTTGGGAGACTGAGGCAGGAGGGTTGCTTGAACCCAGGAAGTTGAGGCTGCAGTAAGCTGTGATTGTGCCACTGCAGTACAGCCCTGGGAATCAGAGTGAGACCCTGGCTCAAAAAAAAAAAAAGAAGATTTAGGGAATAAACTGAGAGTAGGATAATACTCAATTTTGTTCACTTTTCAGCCCCCAGGATACAATTCTTTGCCATTGAAATTGCTCGGAACCGGGAAGGCTATAACAAAGCTGTTTATATCAGTGTTCAGGACAAAGAAGGAGAGAAAGAAGTCAACAACGGAGGAGAAAAAAGAGCTGACAGTGGAGAAGAGGAGAACACCAAGAAGAGAGGAGAGAAAGGAGCTGATAGTGGAGAAGAAGACAACACCAAGAACAGAGGAGAGAAAGGAGCTGAGAGTGGAGAAGAAAAAGAGGAAGGAATCAACAGAGAAGAGAAAACTGACAAAGGAGGAGAAAAAGGGGAAGAAGCTGACAAAGACATCAGCAAAAGTGGTGAAAAAGCGATGTAAGGTATACAGGGGACAGCGCTCTAGAAGCTATGTGTCAATTGAGCCTACAAGTAACACAGTGCTGCTTGCACAGACCTCTTTGGTTAAATGTAAACTCTTGTACAATTTAAGAACACTCAGGAGGACATCCTTCTAGCCTAATAGGATTTGCTCTTGTGGTTCCCTTGTATGAACTGTCTTAAAGACTATTAGTGGGGTGTTAGTTGATTTTTTCTGGTGTACTGTTTTTTGGCTGTCACCGCTGGTCAAGTAAGAAATTTTGTAAATAAATGTCTTTTGGTTCTTTTTTATCTGTATCTCTGACTGAGTTTAAAAAGGTATTTGACACTTGAAATTTTTTTCAAATATATAATCTCATCACCATGTCTTATGTAAAATAATTTACCCCTGTTTCTTACTGCTTCTCACCATTTCCTATAGTCAAGTTCTCTAAACTTGTTAAGTTATACTAGGTGTTGGAATTGAAAGTCCTTACCTAAGAATTGACTCTTAATCTCTGAGTGACCACAACTCCCTGATTTCTTTGCTATATAGGACAAAAGATTTGATAAATAGCAGCAACCTGAACCTGTCAGATTAGTGGATGCAGCCCAGTTCATATTAGAAAAGCAAGAGACTGGACCGGCTTCAGTATTTGCTTTTCTTTTGGTAGGCAGATTGTTACCTGAAAGCTAGCAAAAACAAACAAAAAAACAGTAAAGCTAGACAGAGGGGCTTCCCTTTCATAATGCTATGGACAATAAGATACATTATGTATTAACACAAAATCAACATATTTTTAAATGATACCTTGTCAGACTCTAAAAAGTAGATCACTTGATTTTATATGGATAGGGGAGAGTATTTCTTTTTTTTCTAATGGCTTTTAAGAGTGCATGCTTCAGTTATCTCACATGTATGTAAAAGTTTATGCATGACCTTATAGACACACTGAGTTTGACTGCTGAAACTGGTTAGAAGAAACCATAATGTTTATAGTATATACAGTAAATACAAGTCTAACCACAGAATGATAATGCAAGAAAGGACTTACCAGAGCAGAGAAGGGAAAAATGAGGCTTTTTTATTTCAGTGGACATAGGAAAGAAAAAATTAAAACTAATTGACAAGTTATGCCCTAGGCAAGAGCTGATGTATAGATGCGCACATCTAGCAGCAGCAATTGTGCACAAAGCATATAGGTTTCTCCATGAATTCTTTGTCAAATTCTTAAAAATATTTATAACATTTGTTAGTCTTCATTTTATAAAAATGTCTTTTTTTAATGGGACAGGAAAATGTTAAATACTTCATACTAGAAAGACTTTGTTATTAAGAACCTTTACTGTATTAACTTTTTCTACTTCATACATTATTAAATATTTACAAAACTGCATTCATATACATTACTTCAGGCTGAGGAAGAACAAAGATTATTGGCCACATACAATTGTGCCCCTGATGGCCTTTTCCAGGTAGCTCACCAGTAAGATAATGTGCTTAATGACTTCTCTCTGATTAATTTTAGACAATAAGAAACATGCAGTTGAAAGACTGCTTTAAAACAAGAGGCATCTGTCCAAAGACTGGTTGATGAAATCTGGGGAAAGGGAGGGAAATACACAGGACAATTTGGCTGCACTGTAAGAGGCCAGGAATCCAAGGCAGTGTCCAAAGTTAGAGGAGAAGGAGCAGGCAGAATAGTGCTCTGGTGCCATAGACAATTCTTAAGATGGACTTAAGGTAACCACGCCTTGGCATACATGTTCTTTATAATTCCCATGTGTTTCAGTATGGGTAGGACTTGTGAATATGAGGAAATTTCATTGCTGCAATTAGCTTACTGATCATTTTACTTGGAGTTAATCAAAGGGGAGATTATCCTGAGTGGATCTTGCCTAATCAGGTGAGCTCTTAAACAAGTGGCCACAGCAGATGTTCTCATGTTGGCCTTGAGGAAGCAAACAGTCATGTTGTGGGAGGAGGGTACTTTGTGGCAAGAACATGAGAGTGGCTGTCTAGGAGCTGAGATTGTTCCCTGGCTGACAGCAAGAAAATAGGATTTTACTCTTAAGTTGCAAGTAATTGAATTCTGCCAAAAACCAGTGAGTTTGTAGAAGACCTCGAGCCTCAGATGAGATTGAGACCATGACTTCAGCCCTGTGAGATCCTGAACAGAGGACTCAGTTAAACTATACCTGGACTCCTGACTCATAGGACTGTAAGATAATTGGGTGCTGTCTTAAGCCACTAATTACAGGGCAATCTGTTACAGAGCAGTAGAAAACAACCACAGACTTTGGTACTTGGAGTGGAGTGCTGCTGTAACAAATACCTAAAATGTGATAGGAGGCTTTGAAATCAGGTACTGGATGGAGGCTAGAAGAATTTTGAGGAGCATGATAGAGAAAGCCCAAATTGCCTTGAACAGACTGTCAGTAGATATAAGGACTTGAAGGCTTAGAAAGAAGTAAAGAACACATTGGAAAGTAGAGGAAGTGGGAATTGTAGCATTGTAATTGGCAAAAAATTTGAGATTTGAGGCCTTGATCTGAATTATTTGTAAGATGTTAAATCAGATTAACCACAGTGTGCAAACAATGGTTTATTCAGAATGTGGTAGCATTCCAACAATACGTCTTTCGGAGGCAGGAAAAAGATATTGACTAATTTGTACACTTGCAGAAGGGGAAACTGCAGCCATATTTAAGTTTTAAGTCACTGAATTTTTGATAATTTGTTACATCAATAACAGGAAATTAATAAAGAAGACATGCTGAGCACTACCCCAAGAGTAGAGAGATTCACTGCACTGTCAATTTTTATTTTGAAACTATAAACATGGGGATATGTTGTATCAGAGGACTGAAGACATAACCTGCACACAAAGTGAACTTTAATGATTGTAAACAATTTTTAACTTATTCTCCACAGGAAATCCTATAGCTGAGTTTATGTGTGTTGGGTGGTATTGGTATAACTGGAAGTTCTCTAAATTTACCTTTATGAACAACACAATTCTTATTAAAGAAAATGTGCTACATTTAATTTAAAGCTTATATATACATATTAATAAAACTCAACAGTAACTTCATCAATTGTATTGAAGTTGTACCAAGAAAATATTTTTCTGGGGAAAACTATTTTATCATTAACATTGTTTTAAAATTGTCAGAGCACAATGAAAATTTAAGCAGATGAGGTTTTTGTTGGTTTTCATTGTTTTTAAATTTTGTACAGAGAATACACCTTTTTTATAGCCTGCACTCAGTGTGAACAATTCTCATTACCCAATTTTGCTACATCATTATTGTTTTCACAAATTCGTTATTCAGATAAATAGTATCACAACTGATTGTTCAAAAATAAAGGCATGTATGTATGTTATGTAAATGGTAATTTTGCCACGCCTAAATGTTTATATCTCTGTAATTGTGAAAACATTATAACTGCCAACATGTTGTTGGTTTCCTGAATTACACTGCTGCCACTTGACTGTATAACTGGCTAGTTTTTGAAATGTTTTAAATTTTGGATTCAGGGGATACATGTGGAAGTTTGTTAACTGGACATATTGCATGATGCTCAAGTTTGGAGTATAGATGGTCCCATCACCCAGATAGTGAGCATAGTACCCAACAGATAGATTTCAGCACATACCCTCCTTCTTTACTCTCCCCTTCTAGAAGTCCCCAGTGTCTGTTGTTCTCATCTTTATGTATATGTGTATTCAATGTTTAGCTCCTACTTATAAGTGAGACCATGTTGCTCCAAAGGACATGATTTCATTCTTTTTTATGGCTGTGTAGTATTTCGTGGTGTCTATGTGCCACATTTTTCTTATCCCCGCAACCAGTGATGGGCATCTAGGTTGACTTCACATCTTTGCTATTGTGAATAGCACTGCTATGGACATATGGATGCATATGGCTCTTTGATAGAATGATTATTTTTTTGAGACAAGAGTCTTACCCTATTGCCCAGGCTGGAGGGCAGTGAACGATCTCAGCTCACTGCCTACCAGGTTCAAATGATTCTCATGCCTCAGCCTCCTGAGTAGCTGAGATTATAGGCATGTACCACCACACCTAATTTTTGTATTTTTAGTAGAAATGGAGTTTCATCATGTTGGCCAGGCTGGCCTCACACTCCTGGCCTCAAGTGATCCATTCACCTTGGCCTCCCAAAGTGCTGGGATTACAGGTATGAGCCACCACACCTGGCTTAGAACAACTTATTTTCCTTTGGCATATACCCACTATTGAGATTGCTGTGCTGAATGTTAGTTCTAAATTTTTTGAGAAATCTAAGCTCCTTTCCACAATGACTGAACTAATTTACATTCCCACCAGCAGTGTATACATGTTCCCTTTTATCCACAGTCTTGCCAAAATCTGTTATTTTTTTTTACTTTTTAGTTAGCCATTCTGACTGGTGTGAGATGGTATCTCATTGTGATTTTGATTTTCATTTCTCTGATGATTAATCGTGAGCATTTTTTCATGTATTTGTTGGCTGCTTGTTTGCCTTTTTCTGAGAAGTGCCTGTTCATGTCTTTTGCCCACTTTTTAATGGAGGCATTTGTTTTCTGCTTGTTTAATTAAGTTCTTTGTAGATTGTGGATATTACACCTTTGTCAGATGCAGTTTGTGAATGTTTTCTTCCATCCTATAGGTTGTCTGTTTACTCTGTCAATAGTTTCTTTTGGTGTGCAGAATATCTGTAATTAGGTCACATTTGTTAATTTTTGTTTTTGTTGCAATTGCTTTTGAGGACCTAGTCATAAATTCTTTGCCAAAGCAGATATCTATAAGGGAATTTCCTAGATTTTCTTTTATGATTTTCATAGTAAAACGTTTTACATTTAAATATTTAATCCAATCTGAGTGAATTTTTGTATATGGTAAAAGGAACGGGTTGTTTCATTCTTCTGCATAGGGCTAGCCAGCTATTTCAGCACCATTTATTGACTAGAAACTTTTTTCCCCATTTCTTATTTTTATCAACTTTATTGAAGATCAGTTGGTTGTAGGTGTGCAACTTTATTTTTGGGTTCTCTTATTATATTTCATTGGTCTATGTGCCTATTTTTGTATCATTGCCATGCTATTTTGGTTACTGTAGCTTTGTAGTATAGGTAGAAGTTGTGTAATGTGATGCCTCCCACTTTTTTATTTTTGCTTAGGATTACTTTGACTATTCAGGGTCTTTTTTGACTTCACATAAGTTTTGGAATTTTTTTTTATTTTTGTGAAAAATGATATTGGTCATTTGATAGGAATAGCATTGAATCTGTAGATTGCTTTGTGTAGTATAGCCATTTTAACATCCTTGATTCTTCTAATTTATGAGCATGTAATGTTTTCTCATTTGTTTGTGTC